TCACATCCCAGAAGATTGGGAAGCAGCAACTGGACCGAGGATCCCTTGATGGGTGTTAAAGTTTCTTGAAGTTGATTTGGTAAAGGATTGTGAAGGGGATTTTTAAAGCCAGTAAGCAAAAAAAAAAAAATAAAATAAAAAATGCAACTTAAACTAGGGATGTGAAGGGTTAAACTGTAAGCCTCACAAACGGGTGAGGCTTTCCAGTCCAGTTAACTGGTGGGGGCTGGAGCAGGTCCCTGTCGGCTGGAGGCTGCTGCAGTCCTGCAGGGCCCACCTATCGGTGGGGGGTGCTCCAACCTGGCCACAGCACCCCCCCAGCCATAGCAGCCCCTATTTACAAGGGGCAGGGAGTATGCACTACAGGCCAGCTGGGCTGGAGTGCGCTCCCTTTAATCAGTTAACCTATTAACATTACATTTAACTGATTAAACGGGCTTTTACATCCATAGTTTGAATTATTCCATGTGTGGAATTGCTTTGGCAGCTCTGTCTCCACAATTGGATTGTTTAGAGGCGGAGTAATCTGAATGAGTATCTAGATCGGGGTCAGCAACCTTTCAGAAGTGGTGTGGTAAGATTCCACTTTTCCCCATATCCCTCAGTGCAAGCCCTGCCACCTCCCATCCTGCCCCCTCATCCCTGTGCCCCCAGCGCACTCACCGGCAGGGCAGCAGTGCTGGGACTCGCAGCCACCTGGGAGCAGCACTGGGGCAAAGAGGGGCTGTGGGGGGACAGAGTCACTTCCCTGTCTGGCCCAGCCCTTTGCCTGGGACTTGCCCCTCACTTGCAGACTGTGGCTCTGGGGTTGGGGCAGGCAGAGCCCAGGGTTGCCCAGGGCTGTCTCCAGCCCCCAGCTGGGCACAGTGGGGTTCTGGGGAACAGCTGCGGCGTAGCTTGGGCCCCAGCACCCCATGGAGGAGGCAGCAGCATGTGTGACCGGCCATAACACCCCGCTTTGCCGAGCAGCCCTAGCCCTGCCCCTTCCCTGGGCAGGAGGCAAAGCCTGTAGCGGGAGGAAGGGGAGTGTTAATCCCTTAGCTCCTGGGAGCTGCATGCCTCAGGGACAGGGAGCCCAGTACAGGATCATGCCTCCCGCTCCACTTGCTGGGCCACCCAGCCCCCTTCTCTATGCTGTGAGTGCAACAAAAAATCATCTTGCCTGCCACTTATGGCACACGTGCTGTACATTGCCGACCCCTAATCTAGATACATTTAGAGTATGATTTAAATGCTTCAGTTCATAACCTCTGATTTGTCTAAGGGGCCCTCTTAGAAAGCAATTGGTTGATGGTCTAGGCATTGGACTGCAGTTGAGGGGAATCTCTGTTCTAATTATATCCCTGCAAGAAACCTCTTCTGTGACTTTAGGCAAATATCTTAATCCTTCTGTATCTCCTTACCTGTCTCAAAGGGTAGCTGTGAAGATAAGTTCAGTGTGTGCCACTGAACAGTCTACAGATACTTTACTAGACAAGGAATGGGAATTGGGCTGTCCTAGTCTGTTCAGGGAAGGACAATTCTATAGGCCCGTGGTCCCCAACATGGTGCCCGCGGGGGGCATTTGTCTGCGCCTGCCAAGTGCTCAGGGCTGGCCTGGCCCCGGGCACGTGGCGCATGCGCGGTGCCAGAGCCAGCCCCGGGCACGTGGCGCACGGTGAGCGCCGGCCCCGGGGGCGCCGCGGATTGGCCACCTGCACTCTGGGCACGCGGCGCGGGAGAGAGCGCCAGCGCCGGCCCCGGGCGCGCGGCGCTTGATGGGAGAGCGCCAGCCTCCGGAATGCGGCTAAGGGGGGGCCACGCCCCCGGCCCCGCCCCCC